TTAGGGTTTAGGGTTTAGTAAATCAGATACCCTTGGGCCAAAATAAGCGACAACGGCAAAAGTCCAAAAGACCTAACTAGCCAACAATATGGGACCGACATTTCTTCCCTCAGCTGCGGTCTTAGAGGATTCATTGGCTGATCGTTGGAAGTGGGCAGGGGGCTTACATTTTGAAGCATGGTCTGGAATACGATTATTCAACTCAATTCTGTGTCAAACTGAGCGTGACTACTGCAATAAAATGATGTGGAATAGTACTGGTACCTATGCAGGCATCTACATTAACCAAGTCATATTCCTCAAATGATTGAGGATGCATCAGCCGCGGCCAAGGTGCTGCGATTGCCTCTTCTGCCGACATGGTCTGCGACCGGCGGCAGGTGGCTTGGAGGACTAACAAATCGGTTACACTTGGGAGTGTAAGACAAGGTCTTGCGCTTAGCTTCGCGCTGACGTCAACACGATGGCATGGGGATTTGAAAGTGAACCAAGTAAGGCTTTGATACATATCGCGTAGAGACCTTAAAAAAAAGAAGGCTTTTGGAACCCAAACATCTTGTGGAGTGGGCTTGCCATGAATCCGGGATCCTTGCCTCAAGCCCTCCGTGAGTTCAACCGCCAATAAACCCCGAATCAAGAACAGGAGAGCGTGAATCCAAAACCCCTACTCCTGGCTGTACACATGTGTAGACGCCCAGAGTCGCAAATTATGTGTTGTAATCTGGAGCTAGGCGACCGCCACACGAAGGTTTGCAGCAGGAATCTGCATATGTACCGTCATCTGCGCATGCTTGCACTCGCGGATCAAACCCATGTGAACATCCCAAACCCCATAATCCCAAAAAAGCTAGATTCTTAAAACCCTACACCAACCCTCAATGCTACACCCTGTACCCTAAACCCTAAACCCTAAACCCCAAAGCCCTAAACCCAAAACTACGCCCAGAACCCTAAATTCAGCAGAACTGTGAGTGTCTTAGTAAACCTTAAACCCTAAACCCTAAACCGTCAGTGTCTGCCTGTCGGGCTTCATGCGCAGGGCCGTTTGCTGCTGGTGTTCAAATCCAAAACGACCACGAGTGTAGGGTTTAAGGTTTCGAGTTTAGGGTTTGGGGAATGCTTGGGGTATGGCGGGCCCCTATATAAGGCATTCCAGAAAAGAACAGCCAAAGTGTAAGATTATTGTGCTTCTTTTGTCCTGTGGACTGGACAGCAGCGGGCCTCCAGAGCCAGCTTGCACCACTCCGCGTGGTTAAAACTGGGCACTCCGCGTAGTCATGGCGGCCAGCAAGCTAACCCTAAAGTCGCGGACATGCAAGCTCACTTTCTGAAGTTTGATCACCGACAGTCTGTCCTAAAGTTGTAGAGCTTGGGGGCTTGAGGGCTGAGGTTTGGAGTTCAACTTTTCTTGCGTCTAGCATGTAGGATCTCTGGTTCAGGGTCTTTAGGCTTAGGGTAATGTAGGGGCCTTAATAATTAGAATAGGTCTCTGGGGGTATACTATACTATAACTATAACTAATTGTTAAGGCCCCTATACTATAACGATTGGGCACGGGTGCATGAGTCTTCCAAACAACGAAACATCATGGTCGAGCTCATTAGGATCCTGGGTGTTTTCAGGTGTAGAGTTTCGGGACTTAGGGACTTAGGGTTTAGGGATAAGGTTTAGGGTTTAGGGCTTTAAGAGTTTAGGGACGTTCAGCCTGAACCTTCGCCGTTTGGTGTACTTGAGCCGAGGACACCGCCCCCTCCCTCAACCCGAACTCCTAGCAACTCCAAGCCCGAGAGACCGCTTAACCTTCATACTGTTGATAATCTAAATCCTGCATTACCTTACGGACCCTAAACTATGGGAATTTTGTTATATATTCCCTATCAACCGTATGAGACCTAACCCCCTAATTATACCCCAACTCCGAAACCAAGACATTCAAACTTCTGCCGCTAGACTCTTGCCGCAGTTTGGGTTGTCTTAATTTAGGGTTTTGGGTTTTGGTTACTTCTCCTACCAGTATTCAGGGTTACACAGTGCGTCACACACATACTGGGGAACGCGTAAAATCACGAACCACCACAAACCCTAAATCCCCCAACCGCCGCCTCCAGAAACCCTAAACCCTAAACCCTAAACCCTAAACCCCCTGCGTCTTTCCGAAGTTGCAAGCCCCATGGCCTTCAGCACTAACTTGCCGGGAAGGGCCTCTTTTGAGGTTGCTACAAGACGTTATCAGACTTTGGGGAGGAGTTCATAAAAGGTTTTGATAAGGGTTTTATAGTGATGTTAATACGTGTTCAAGAAGGTTTCGGGAGTGTCGTTGGCATACGATGCAGACTCCTGATTAAGAAAAGCACCTTTCTTTGCGGAGCCTTACGTGGATCCCGAGAGTGATCCCTGTCACGGTAGCAAGTCTATATTATTCAGTTTCAATATAGTGAAAACCTGAACCTACACTTGAAGCGCCATGGATGGTATGGAGTTGGGTCGTGATATGGGCTTCAGTTTGGGCCCTAGAGGGCTTAGGGTTTGGGAATACAGAATCTTAGCAGGCATTACCATATAGCAATCTTCTAGACAACTCAAAATTATTTATTACGCCATGTAACGTAGACAAAATGAAGAAACCGTCCATGACATGAAACGACCTTTTTTCTAGATCTTTGTCACACGTCCCGAAAACCATTCGCAAAGACAGTCTTGCAATCGCAGCCCGTGGAAAGAAGCGTAGTGCTGGCCTCGGCTTGACGAGCTTGTGCCCCACGTCGCCGCGTCTACCATCATCACCCCGGCCTGTGATCACCGACCGCTCACTCGTTGTCGTCGTCGTCGTCGTCTAATAGTAGT